GTGTTTAGGAAACAGAAAAATCAGAAGACTTTTGACCAGTCAGGAGAGGGTTAGAAAAGAGAGAAAATCAGTGTTTGGGTGGATGAAAGACAATTAAGAAGGTCTGGAGAGAGGGCATTGATGGCGTGTGGAAACCAAGGCAGGCAGATTTGGCTTGATGCGTGCTGGCCCTTTAAGAATTGGGTTGGTGGGGGCCAACAGATGGTGTAGTAGTTACATTGCTGGACTCCCACGTGGCTGACTGTGGTTCGAGTCCTGGATCCTGTGGGTTGAAACTCATGCCAGGTGCATGTGCGTGCCCAAGACCTGGGAGTGGCCACCACCCCTTCCCCACCCCCTCTGTAATTTCTCACTTTCTGTCTCACAGTCTGTACCCCCAACACGAGTGCAGATGCCCTAAGGCAAAACCTCTTAAAAAAGGGGGGTGGTGGTGTGAAGCCTCACCAAGACTATTGGAGGAATAGGAGCATTTGATGGTTATTCTATGTTTAACCATTTGACAAACCGCCAGACTGTTCTCTAAAGTGTTGGCGCCATTTTGCATATGTCTACCAGCCGTGTATAAGGGTTCCAGTTTCTCTGCATTCTTGTCAACACTCGTAATTGTCTGTTTTGGTTTTTTATTATAGATATTCTAGTGGATGTGAAATAGTCTCTCATTGTAATTTTGATTTCCTTTTCCCTGCTAGTTAATGTTAAGTATCTTTTCATGTGGCCAAAATATGTATCATATTTTCTTGGAGAATGTCTACTAAATCCTTTACCCATTAAAATGATTTCCTCCCATTTATTGGGTAGTCTTTTTAAAAATAATTATTTTTATTTTTAAAAAATTATTTATTTATTTATCCACTCATTTATTTTTTTTTAATTTGACCAGAGAGAGACACACAGAGAGAGAGAGAGAGAAAGTGAGAAAGCAAGCCACCAGGTCCGGGACTCGAACTGTGGTTGGCCATGTGGGAGTGTCCAGCACCTTAACCACCATGCCACCTGCTGGCCCCCAAGAATTATTTATTTTATTTATTATTATTATTATTATTATTGTTCTTCTCTTTGACCAGGGAGACACACACACATACACACATACAGAGAGAGAGAGAAAGAGAGAAAGAAAGCCACCAGATCTGGGACTCGAACCATGGTCAGCCATGTGAGAGTCTAGCACTTTAACCACCATGCCACTTGCCAGCCCCTTGGGTAGTCTTTATCATTAAGTTGTAAGGGTTTTCTTATATCTTCTAGATACAAATCCCTTATCAGATATGTGATGGGCAAATATTTTACTGCACTCATTGGGCTGCTTTTTTCATTTTTTTAATGGTACCTTTTGGAATGTAGCTATGTTTACCATTGTACCACCGATGCTGTGGTATCTTTCAAAGCTCAGGTTTTTCATTTTGATAAAATCCAATTTATCTATTTTTCATTTTTGCTTGTGCTTTTGGTGTCATATCTAAGACTTTGCCTAATCCAAGTTCATGAAGTTTTACTCCTACATTTTCTTCTCGCTTATAGTTTTAGCTCCTTTATATATATATGTATATGTATTTTATTTATTTATTTATTTTTGCTGTAGGGCATGTGTGCTTGCAGAGACAGCAACAGAAAGTGAGAAATCACCCCCTCCGGGGGAATGGCTATGCCACAACCCCTTCTCCTACAATCTCCTCTCGGGATTTTAGGCATGCATGCACACGTGTCTGGCATGAGTTTCAAGTCGTTTGGGTCTGGGATTCGAACCACAGTCAATGATTTGGGAATTTAGTGATGTAACCATTATTCCATCTGCTGGTCCCTCTTTTTTTTTTTTTTAAGTTGTAATCAGAACACTTAAGATATACCCTTTTTTCTTTCTTTTTTTTTCTAGAGAGATTTTCTCTATAGGGTGCGTATGTTCACCAGAGAGACAGAGAAGGACAGACAGAAAGCAAGATATCACCCCCCAGGGGGATAGCGATACAACAGTCCCTTCTCTCAGGATTTTGGGTATGCATGCACATGTGAGTTTTAAGCTGCTGGGTCAGGGACTTGAACCGCGGTTGACTATGTGGGCATCCATTACACCATCTGCTGGTCCCAAGATCTACTCTCTTAATAAAAATTTTAAATGTGGGACCAGCAGATGGCATAATGGTTATGTTGCTGGACTCCCACACAGTCGACTGTGGTTTGAGTGCTGGACCCAGCGATGTGAAACTCACACCGGGCACATGTGCATGCATGCCCCAAATCCTAAGGAGAATAGAGAAGAAGGGATTGTGGTGTGACCATCCCTACAGGGGGGTGATATCTCATTTTCTGTCTCTGTCTTTCCAGTGAGTGCATGTGCCCTATAGCAAAAATATCTCTTAAAAAAATTTTTTTTGGGGGGCCAGCAGGTTAAGGACACTCCCACATGGTTGAACACAGTTCAAGTCCTGGATCTGGTGGCTTGCTTTCTC